AAAAAAAAAAAAAAAACAAAAAGAAGAACAAGCAAAAGCCATTTGCAAAAAGTAAATGACGTAACTACAAGATACCAAAAATATAAAAACAACGAACAAGAAGCAAACTTTTTGAGAACCGCATAGAAGTATTATAAAGTGAAGATTAGTAGTCGTATTTACAACCGCATATGTCTATTTATTGTACAGCCAATTAGTGATTTAAAAATACCAATATTACGCTACATTTAGAAAAATCCACATAAACCGGACAGTTAAAACAAACATCATAGGTCTCTTCATAAAGAAAACTGAGACAGGAATGTTTAAAACAAAGAGAATTTTGATTTCACAGAATTCTGTAAACTCAGGAGATATCTTTTTGAAAAAAAAATTAGAAAGACGTTTTGACAAACGGGTTACAAATAAGTTTGACGGCTTCTATAAGTTAAGTTACTCAAAATGTCTTGCAAAACTCGAATTTCAAAATTGCACCATACAGACAAAGGTAATAAATTAGAAATTTCTAACTAAATGCATTAATGGTTTGAACCTGTCAGTGAACTATCTGCTTCCGCACTTTCGCGTTGGATCGCCGCAAGTATATCACTGTTCACCAGTGAAGCGTCCTCACTTGTATCATCTTCCGCTAAAAATATTAAAGAAAAAATGCTGATTCTGGAGTCTTCACACCTTATAAAAACAGAATCTCTTTCACCAAAATGAAGGATAATTGTACAGAAATTTTGAGCCCCACAAGAACAAAATGATTAAATATGTATTTCACCGGGCTCAGTCCTCACTCGACAGGTCCTTGCCCCAACAGTTTCTCGTGATAAAGTTATAAGCACCAAGAACGCAAGACCTATACAGGCTCCCGGAACAAAACTCATAACACATCGATAAAAAACGGCGCAATTGGCAGACACCGATTCACTACTAAACAGAAGTAAGATTTAAAAATCACCACGGATAATGGGGCATGAACGGCAAACGTAATCCTATATATACTTCCCAAAATAGCCTTGTAAAAAACTACTATTGACTGTGCCTATAGCTGCTCTCAAGCAGATATTTGATAAACATGCATAGAATTAAGTTTGTACTTTATCCGCAATATGAATCAATAAACCTTTTTCACTATCCTGACTAAAAAATAAATATTAGAAATTCAAAAGGGAAAAGAATAAGAAAAGAAAAAACTGCTGTCAACTACATCACAGTTGGTACCAATTTTACAAAATTCCCTACTTGCAGTGAGGGTTCAACAATTCAATGAGCTGATACGTAATTCCGTTAGCCAATTTATCCATAAAGCTCATCACCCCGTAAACAAATGCGCCACTCTCCTGAAACAAACAAAATAAATCCACTGAATAAAGGTTGAAGTGAGTTAAAAAAATAAGAGTAAACTAAACTATATCTTGCAAAACTTCTTCTTTGAAACCCAAAAATCCCCTAACAAATTTTATAAAAATAAAACCATTGTATATAATAACTGGTTCTCAGAAATTCAAAAATATAAAAGGAATAAAAGAATATACGGTATTTCTGTTTATTAAATCTGCTGTAATAGCTAAGACTGAAACTAAGACGACTGTCTGTGCGACACCTATAAGTATAGAGATGCATATTATCGAGACCATCGTTTGGTTGAAATACATGGCTGCACAGTTACTGATGCCAAAAAGACAACCAAAAAGGTAAAGAATCTAAAAATTGTATGGACCAGTGCCTTGATTACGACAAAAGTGAAAGAAAAAGGTAAAAAATGCTAAAATATGAGAGCCGCCTCAGCAGCTGTAGATTATTAAGGTGTACCTAATCGGAAATACTTACTTTGTTCCCAAGCAGTCTATTTATCCGTGGAGCGCTAACAAGTGAAGCGACTAAAAATGAAGAAATACAAGATATCATGGGCAAAACTGCGATATATTTCTAAAATGCATAGGAAAAAAGTAGCCAAAATTAAAGCATTGGTCAAAAAATAGCAAACAACTTTTAAAAATATGCACAGCACGTAACATCGTAGTTCAAACATACCTTTGAAAAGCTTGCGGTTAGGGTTATGTAAAACGGAAAATACACTTGCGAAACATTGATGAACAAACGTGAAAACATATAAAGAAACGAAACCTAAAATACTCCATAAGATGAGGATGAAGCATCAATTATATTTCGGTAAATTATTAAAAAGAAATCAAAATAATTTAAGACATACTTTTAAAAAGTACTAGAAATGAAATAAACTTTGATACTTTGTAAAACTGAAGGTGACTGAACCAATTTGTCCAGGACATTTTTGCAAGTTCAGGTGAAGTAGAAGCAGAGTTCAAGCGACTCAACCTACGCCCATCAGTCGGTTCTTTTGTAGTTGCATAAAATAAAATCGACGTGATCAAACCAATAACCACAACGCCGATGGAAGCAATCTACAAGTGGTAACCATCAACAACGTGAATTGTCCAATAAAATCTGATTCACCACTAAAATGCAGAAAAATAATGTAATAATCGCACGCTGAAATGAGTGCTGTCTGCCGCAGTTATTCCACCACCACTATCGTCACGATTTAAAAGAGCCGAAAGTCCAAGAAACACAAAAAGATTAGCCAAAACAGTAAAATTGTATCTAAAAAAGGATATCAAAAGACTCTGCTCCAAAAAAAAACAAAGTCAACAATTAAACATTATTTTCAGCATTAGCCTGACCTCCAAATTTCACTGCTACTTACTAATCGTTTGATTAAGGTTTCAGTTAGTAACAAAATTAGAAATGTCCACCTAAGTGATCCAAGAGAACTTCTACGGCTGCTATCCTCAGAAAGCTCCGGAATCAAGGCTAAATGGGAAATCTAAAAGGCCTTTATGCGAAAAAAAAAACAGAAATCATCATAAAATAGGAGCAAAAAAAGGCCATCAAGGAGATGACATTTGCTTACTTGTACAGAGGCCCAACCAAATTGGAAAAGCATTATAAACGGGACGTACCAACCAATTTGCCAAAGCTTATTAATTTTACTATTCAGAAGACCCTTATTGAAAATAAATGGGAATGATAAAGTGACACAAACGGTTCCTAAAAATCAGCCCTCTTTCAACACAACAAGAAAAAACAAAACATGACCTAATCAAAAAGTGTAAATGAAGAAAATTTAACACAGTCTTAGCTGTACGGAAAATAGTTACCGATAAGATGCCAAGAAACCCTTCTTCCTAAACGCTTCAAACAAACTGGAAGTTTAGAGCTATCGCTAGCCATGCCCACAATCGGTGTACTGATAGCATCAGTGATCTAGAATGCCAAATATGGAAAGAATTTCGTTAGAAAATGATCCAGACAACAGATCTTTTAAAAAACTTATTAGGAAAAAATATCTTGCAAAAACATTTACCTGCCCCACAAGCATCAAAAAACCAGCAGCTGATGCTTTGAAATACATGACCCTTTCCAAAAATATCATGAGATAAGTAAACCACATACTGGCACAGAGATCATTGTAAAAATGCCCGACTCCATAACCTAACATTCGAAAACAACCGATATTACTTTGAATAACTCGAATGCTAGTCTGCAAATTCAGAAAAAATTTCCGCTTTATAAAATAGCAAAAAACTTAAGTAAGTTAGCTTTTCAAATTAACTAACATAACGTCTCATTTCGTTTAGATCCATGAAAGTATGCGGAACCAGTATATCAAAAACAGTACTGCTCCGCATCTACGAGTGCACAAGTTTGTGAGACGGAAAAAAACAAAGAATGAACAAATAAACATACTGAAGATTCATCATCCGCTGTCCCATTAAGATCGCTTTCTTCTGATAAATAATCAGTCACTACAGTTGTATTTTGTTTTCCACGAACCACCTGTACTGACGGCTCTTCGTCCATACCGATAAGGCAGAAATTAACGGCTGTAAGCAGATAGGTGAAAGTGTTGTAAATAAAGCAATAAGCATCTTACAACTTATTGGATCTATAAAGCGCAAAAAAACCGCAACGTAACCACGTGAGAAATTACAACACATGATAGAATAAAAATAATAGGGTAACCAAAAAATCTGTCGACACAGTAGAACGAATCCGCAAAGTAGAAAAAAAGTAGACATTAAACAAAAAAAGAACCAGTGAAACAAACAGTAACAAAAGTCAGTAAACAGAATAAAAATTAAACAGCCATAATATGATAACAATAACAAAGAATTTGCCGTAATTTAGCACCTCACTATTTCGCGCATATACGACCAACAGCAGTGAGTAAACGCTCATCCAAAGTCTATGACTATAAGAATGAGTTCAGGGAGTTTTCAAAACGACAAATGGCAAAGATCCAACTTCAGCAGTAATAACCGGTGAACAGTCGCCACTTTACCTGCTTCCAGTATTGAGGAAGCCTCCGTCTTCACCTAAAGAATACGCGGTGTCAAAAAATTTCTTTCGCATATGTTCTCCTCCTTATTTTATGAACTTTTAACTGTAATGCGCTGCAATCTTTGCAAAACAGCTGAAATTTATGTGCAAATTTTAAAGTATTGGTGTGGGGAGGTGAAAATGACGGAACCATTTCATTTGAAACACCCTATAAAATACGTATTGAAGTAACAAAATCATTTCTAAAGTAAGCCACTGAAAAATACCACCTTCATACCATGATGCTTTTAAACAGATTCAAACGCTTTCGATGTTTCGAAATTACCCACAAAACATCATTGTTGTTAAAATCTTTCTTAAAATACTTTTCTAATTTTTTCTAATAAGGGAAGCAGTCTTTCAAAATAATGACCCCAGAGAAATCGACGCCAAGTACACGGAGATTCTAAAATTGGAAATGAAGTACTTATTACACGACGCAAAAAATAATCTTTAGAAAAATACAGTTTTGCTGCAGGTACCAAGAACCATGGTACTTGGCTAGAAACTTCATAAGTGTACAAACTTCCGGTCTTTCGGATCAACTTCAGCCATAAATACCGTTGTTCAAAATGAACTGAATGGTATCAACCGATGCGATACTTTATGTCTACTTAATTCAGAGAAGGACAAAAAATATTACCTTATAAAGCTATATCATTACAAAAATAAAAGTGCACAAATCTACCACACAGCAACACAAAAAAAAAAAGAGAAAGGACAATCAAAAACCAATTGAATTATCATCATCATTATCATAAGCTTTGTCATCATTAACGTGGGTTATCTTCAACACATAGATAGTCGCTCCGGATTCAGATTGTTGCGTATGAAACACCTGTAGCGGTGGTTCTTGGTCCGTCATAGTGCAGCATGAAGCGGTCTTTGTAAATACGTAAAGAATAAAATTTTAAAGAAGAAGTAACAACCACAAAAAAAACTTTGGTTTCCAAAAAACAGTGAAGAAAACAAAAAAGTCAAACTATCATTACTTTCAATCACGGAAAAGTGGAGAAATAAAAAAGATTAACTACTAACAACAAATTTGAAGAAATGGCAAATCGAACCATTACAGCAGAGGAAAAAATATACAGTAAACAATGAAAAATCAATGAAATAAACAATACTAAACGTTTGTGAACGGCACAAAAATAATAACAACAAAACGTGACAGCAATGGAAAATTCTCTCAAATGGTCGACAATCCGCCGTTATTTAGTACCCATCCACTTAAAATATAACACTATACAACCAAGATCAGCAAAGAATATTGCTTAATAAAACTGCCAGACAATAAGTAGAAGATAAAAGTGAATTTCAACTAAAAATTCAGTCAAAATTACACACTAGTTAAGCGTACAGACGCCTACTGAATTCCGAAAACGGCACGTATATTAAAGAAGAAATTATATTTTGATGGACCTACAAAAAGCAACAACTCATATCTTTTAAACCATTTTTTGAGTCTCTCAAATAAAAATTAGGCAATGTGGAATAAGTTTCTCTACCAAACAGTAAAACGACAATGGTTGGACTGTAATTTTGACACGACATATCTACCACTGTTCGAATCAACTGCCAATGAAAAAACCCATTCCAGCTAATCATAACCAAAGCTGTAGTTAATATAGAAAATAAACCAGAAAGCAGTTACAGGGCTTAACCGTCCTCTAGGATTCTAAACAGTTCTGCTAAGTTACTGGCAATATTCAAACTTTTTGCCAATTTGAGACAGTTCATTTCGAACTAAAATCATCAGTGCTTATGCAAAACTATGTGCTTCTAGTATTATTTGATCAAGCGTCATATACCATGTGTATATAGGTTTAAGACGGAACTTATGGCTGTTGAGAAAATGTCGTTCAACAGATCACGATCAACTACAACTGGCAACGATCTGACAATCGTTAACGGCATATAAAGTAACCATTTCACAAACAACTTGCAGACTGTTGAAGGGTATTCATCATAACTGTAGTCTGTACTCTAAAAAAAAAAGAAAGTTTAATTTTATAACAGTTTTTGTCAATTAAGTATTCAAATAAATTTTTATCTCGTTTTAATCCAGTAATAATCCGTTTTCAACTCTGCTTTAAACTTGAACAGTAGAATTTTGTTTTGCAGATTTTGCACCGATACAACCAACAGAACATTGCCTGGTAACCGCACATTACTGTGATAGTTGTCTGTTTTTTTGTAACTCAACATGGATGTACAAAAAAAATACATCGTCACAAATTCATCATTTAGCATTTGCGATTACTTTTTTTCTCCATTCTTTAAAAAGCATACATTGCAAATTCGTGGCGTGATAACTGATTTAAACAAAATGAAATGAGTGAAGTTGAGTGAAATAACAACTTTTTTATCGTCTCCAAAGCGACTAATCCTAGCTAGATAAACAAAAAATTTATACAGTTAGGTGGCCTTGTTGTTGCTAGGAAAGGACATGAGCAAAATGCCATGGTTTATGATCAGTTAACTGCTATTACAAATAAAAAGAAGAAAGGCATCTCCAATAGGTTTCGAAACAGCCTCTAACGTCACCAATTTCATCTAGGAGCGCACTTCGTCATAGTTTTGTCAGCACATCTATCAGTTTTTGTTCTGCAATATGTAGCTTAGCCACACGACTGTTTGTGAAATGTTGAAA